AAATATTAGATCACAGGTTCAGCACACTTACCTGCTTGCGCAATACTTGGCAAAGAGAGAGCCAGAGGCTGGTGCCTGGAGTAAGCAGCCGGTGAGTGTCGGGGCACTTGTCTCTCTGTCTGGTGCCTGCTGCTGCTCCTGTCTAGCCCAAACATGCAGATTCTCTTCACAAGAAAAACAATGCACAGGAGGAGCTGGTACATGATCTCACCCTGACAGCGACCTTCAATACAACTGTATAGCTGGGAGCTCTGAAACATTTTTTGATCTACGGGTTTATACATACCTACATTGATGAAAGGGCAGACTCCGATGCCATTCTTTACAATAAGCAATGCATAACTCATAAAAGAGACTTACTAAATTATTTAAATGGCTTATCAAACATGATTAATGGCCAAGAAAAGATCTAAAGTATTCTTGCTTCTGTAAAAAAAAAAAAAAAAAAAAAACATTTTACAGAAGCAATGACCCAAATGACAGATTTTATTTGGGGATGAAAATTATTTCAAATTAAAATTCACCCTTGGATGATGATAGTTGTCTTCATGATTCTTCAGCGAATGTTTTTACTTCAGGCTGCCTAAGGGCCTTCATAACGCTTCAGAGCACAGCACTGTACAACTGTGGCACAGTAATGGTTGCAAAACATGTCTATGATGGCATTTGGTAATAAGGTACTCCATGCTCCATCAACTTACAGAAATCAGTATTAGCAACAGTAGACTAGAGACACAAATCCACTGCCATCATTTCTGTGGCAGAACAACTAGATTCATGCAGAGAAACTCCCTTTTGCTCTCAGTGCTTGTCTCCAAGATTAAGTACTTTGTTCTGGACTTGGAGCAGGTGGAGAGCTTCCTTTTCCCCCAGCATAGCTGCAATATCAATTCAGAAGCCAGATGAAAAATGATGGCATATACTAAATAAGACTTTAAAAAGTGACAGCTGCTTTTTTCAGAACCCCTGCAGGTAAAACAAAGCTTAGCAAGTTTGGGTTTTTTCCTTTCTTAGCACTAAGAAGATAAATTAATGTTGCTATTATAATCCCACTCCCCTGGGTCTTCATATGTCTAAAATAAACTTGCCATGTCAATAAATCCCATAAAATCACATTAACAATGGAGTGTAAATGGCTTCATTTTCTATTAGCACAAACACATCAGAGTAGCAATTTTATTTTCCATGTAATGTGCACAAAAAAATAAATATACACACACGCACACATGTATAATCAGATTGTTAAGCTTTATTCATCAGCAACCTTGCAGCATGAATATTTTGACTCATCTATTTAAAATTCACTGGCCACATGTGCAGCAGGTGTAGTTCACCTAGAAGAAGAAAACACTCATAAAATGCTGCACAGCAGATGGCCCTCTCTTAACTCTGCTGCAGACACATACGTACTCACTAGGCTCAGCCTCTCCCTAATTGCTGTTTCAGATACGATTCCAAGATTACTTGCCATAACAATCTATGCAAAAGCAGTGGCACAGAAACCAGAGAAACATCTCAGCCTTCTTTCCCTCCTCCTCCTTTACTGTCTGGTTTGTATTCGGATTGCATTTCCTCAGAGGGAGTGCAATGTGTATCTTTTTGCTGCCATAAGCAACTTCTAAACCCAGAAGCTTTTAAGTCCATCTCAAATGTTCTCACCATATGGAACTTTACCATGCTTGTCACCACTACCAGTATATATAAAGACTAACGCCCCTCCTTACTGTCCTAGGAGAAGTGTCTGTCAGGGAGCAGCAGGGGCCATCCCACCGCCCCCCCAGGATGGGAGGGAGCAGAGCGGGTGGAGGGGAAAGGAAAGATGAAGTTAGATGGGGAACTGGGGAGAAGGGGAGCTCAAAACAGCTATGCAAAGTCATGATCCCTAGAAAACACAGGGACAGATGAGCTAAGAGTGAGGGGTTGGCCAAAGAGATGAGGACGGGGCGGGGGGAAGACACTGAGATTGCACAAAAAGAGTGCAATGGGAGACTAGGACCAGTAGCTAAGAGGGAAAAAATAGGTGGTGGGCAGTGGAAAGAGACAGATGCATTGGCCAAGAATCTGGGAAAAAGATAAAAGGACTGAGTAAGACAAGCTGAATGGGATAAAGAAATGGAGAGTGAAGTACAGTGAAGTCCCTAGGGAAGCAGAATAAGCATGTGGGAAGACTGTGATGGTGGGCTCAGGAGGGAAATTACGGCTTACTGAGTAAGTTAGAAACACACTGGAGCGTATTTTGCCTATTTTTTTGCAACTATGGATAACCTTTAAAGATGATGTAGAACTGTAAAACAAAGCAGATTGCTGATTTATTTTTAGCTGAGGTTAGGAAGTGCAGGAATAAGGCAAGGAATTACAGGAAAAGATGGTTTCATGGCTGAGAAAGTGAACATTGCTCCAGAGGGGGAGGGAATTACATCCCATCCTGGCTTCCACCACAGACTCCCTAGGATGCTTATTAAGCAATTTAAATTTTTCAGGGGTGGTCATTAATTATAGGTTCTTCATTTTCTAGGCACCTGACTTGGAAGTCTGAAGGCTGAAACACAAAAACGCTGAACACTCTCAGCTGCAACTGATAAAAATCATGTCCTGTACTTCGTATCTAATACCAGTTACTTTGAAAAAACACAGTCCTTGCTATCTCAGAGACCGCATCCAAAATTAACAGATACTTCAGGTGTTAATTTTCCTGTGCTTCAGTGGAACAAGTATGCTTCAATAATGAAACTTTCTCTGGCTTGGGTGTTACTCAGATTTTGGAAGTGCTTATATACTTATTAACTTGGGAAATAATATAGAAGACCTCAGGAGAAAAAGACTGCTGCTGTCGTCTAACAGGGTCCAAACAGTGAGCTGCAAGTACGCCACCAAATGCACACTGACTAACAGTTGAATACTCTTCATTAACTGAACACCCCTCTTTTCTGCTCTGAGTTATGTCAAGGGATGGTAAAATAGAGTACTGGGTCAGTTAATTAAAGATTGCTATAATGTATATGCGCAACAGGGTAAAATTTAAAGCTATATGGGCAAATTTGAATGACTAACTTGGAAATCTTACTATTGCGTACTCCCTGTGTGAATTTAGCAATCCATACATCCTTGTGTATGCACCTATCCTTGGGGAGCACACATCTATATGTATGTGTGCAAAAGAATACTAATTCTGCATGAAGAAACAGGTTTCTTTTAAGCTTCCGATAGAAACTAAGACAAAAATAATTTCCATGCCTTCATCATGTTATTTTAGCTGCAAAGAACCTTTCAATCAAGTGTGACATGAGATAAAAATAGAGAAGTGGTGTAGCCACTTACAACATTTTAAGAGAAAAGGCTGTTTGCCATGCTAGGTTTCAAAGAAAACAGAAAATTTCTAAAGAAGCTCAAAAAGAAGAAAAGAATAAATAATAAAAAAAAAAACATGCAGACCTCTTCCATTTCCAGACCATTGTCATTCCAGGCGTTAAGGCAGATTACTGGTGGTGCACTGTTTTAAGGATAAAGTAGAATTCCTTGTGCCAACACCAGCTGGCAAGTAAGACTGGGACCTGGAGGTGAGAATGAAGTACCACTGTGCTTACAAAGGTACAAACCTAACCAGCTTGGAAGTATTCTCTTCCCTGTCTTCCTTGAACTATGAATTAAACTGTATATTGTATAGGTGCATAATTACATTGCTTGGCAGCTCATGAAAACCAGGATTGTTCTTACACCTATCTGTTTGGAAATCTTATTCCACGTTGGGAGTACCCTCCTTAGCACTTGTGAAAGTGATGTGGTTTGAAGGCTTAACACATATTCCACTACTGTATATTCAAAAGCCAACTTTTTTATTGTTAAGTTGCACAGAGAACATGGAGAAGTTACCAGAATTTTATTACAGGCTCACCCACAGGAAAAATGTATTCCTGGACTAAAAAACACAAAAACTCAAACTTGTCTTTGTTTTATGAGACCAAAGTTTAGCATCCTCTTCTGGATGTAGTAATGTAGGGGTTTCAGAGAAAGTGTAAGAACATTCCAGTGGGCCAATGTGGGATAATATGCCTCCCATAAATCTCCTCTTAATGTGATGCAGTGATTGACTAAAGTTGCAAAGTCTAATGAAATGTAATATGCTTTCCAAATTCTTATTACTTATGATGAAACTGGATTGTCTTTTTTTTTGTAATCCATATACATTTCCTACCTTGCTATTAAGGATCTTGATGTGTGGTAAAGGCTGACCCACCAATGCTTTCAGTGTATGCCTCTGGATGACACGATAAACCTAACTGTGAACCTAATGCAAAGCAATAGTGTCATCTCTCAGACCTTGCAGTCAGCTCACAGAACTCTGCTGCTCCACGTAGCTCCTCTGAAGAGCAGTAGAGCAAAATGACTATGGTTGCGGACAAGTTCTCTGTTACAGCTTGTAACCATGTTGTCAGTGAGACTGAAGGCTACCATCGACTCTATTGGCAAAGCCTGATACAGCAACCTATTCACAGCACGGAAGATATTCATCCCAAAAGCCTAGAGGTGTCAGAGCACAAGGAGTGAAGGGCGGGGGGCAGGCGGGGAAGGAAGGAAACAAACATTTTTGGCACTCAAAACTGGGTGTAAAATGGAAGTCTACATCAAGCAGAGTTAACTGAGCCCTGAAATGGCTGTAAAAGGTCCTTATAGGAACTCAGTACCCATGTAAGATTTGCTAAGACATCTCTTATTTCTTGCAATCAGTTTCTTGACATAAATATAAACTCAGTAAGCCTCGGCAGCCTGTCATTCCCAATTTGCAAGGATAATAATAACAGGAGGGTTTTTTTTAGTGAAGCATGAATTCTGTGAGCTCTCTAGTCTCAGCACATCTGCCCCTGCTCTTCTGCCAATCCAACCACCCCAGCAATAGTAATACAGCACTGTCAAGAAAAAGGAGCAGAGAACGAGCACAGAAAGTTTCTCCCCTCAGTATCAGCAGCAGCAAGCTGAAGCAGAGACAAGAACAAATAGACGGGATGTGCAAACAACAGGACTGTGGCCATGGTTCCTGTGGTAAGGAGATTGCTCAGTCTCAGCACCCCAGCAGCTTGGGGAGAATGATGCCTGGGGAACACACCAAGTCCTCATTAAACAGGCAGAAACAGGCACAGAGTCACAGGGTCACTTTCTTGCTTAAAATGGGATTTTATTGCCTCCTTTCGTCTGTCGCTCTAGGCAACTGCCTGCTTTGCCTGCTCCTAAAACTGGGCCAACTTGCTAGGGAGCTGCAAAAAACCACTCAAAGTTAGTATTCAATGAGAAGACATTAACTCCACACAGGACTCCTCTAGCTTCTGTGTGAAAGGGGAGATGCTGGTCAATTTGCTGACCCTTAAACTTTGATTTTTTACCTGATCTTAAATCTTTGCCTTCCCAAGTCCTGCAAATAGCTACCATTTTGGAAAGAAGACAATAGGAAGGCTGAACATGCAGTCCCTGGCAGAACCAGGTTCTAAACACCTGAGGAGAACTGATGGGTATTTTAAGTACCTAGGTCATACCTCAGTGGGTATATTTTAGTGCAGGGCAAAATACTTTAAAGATATGAAAAAGAAAACCCTCAGCTATTATGACCCTGTCACATACTTGGTATAGGATTTCCAAAAGTGCTAACTACAGGTATGCCTGCAACAACATTACTGAGTGTGTCTCCACCGATTGCAGCGAGACTGAAATTAAGCCACTACCGAGCACTTTTGCACACCCCACAATAAGTATTAAAGTATTAAAGCAGGTATGAACAAGAACAGAAATTTAGCTTGCAGACAGAACAAATTTGTTTCTCGTAGTTAACTTCGTATCACAACACTGCCTATAGTGTATCACTCTGGTTACTTTCCAAGCTCTTCAATTAGAGCTGATCTATAATGCTCATTTTTACACAAAACTCAACTCAGAATAACATGTCTCAGAAAGTTGTTTGTAAACTGCAAACCCTTATTCATGCTGGGTTTAAGACAAACAACTTGGTGCATTTTTTATTGCTCTCCATGGATTTGGATCGGGACTACTGAGCTATACTTCACACCTCCAGTGTCTTACGATTTCCTGTGGGACTGCTCAAGAAGTAAAGCACTACTCTGTCTGAATTACAGCAGGATCAGGCCATCAGGAACAACTTGGGTTTACTCATGTGTTTTACCAAGGGATGCATTCTGTAGCTTCATTTAAATATATCTGAACTTGGAGCAAATAAGGCCAGAATGATAACCCAAGAAACATTCAGATAAAAGGGAAAAATCTGTATACTGAATACATGTCAGTAAAGATTCCCTGCCGCTTTACTGATTTATGGTTTTTCAGGATCAAGCTACTAGCCATGTTTATATGAAGGCACTGCAGAATTGCAGATCTGTTTCTATTCCTGCTCAGCACAAGGATACTTCCTGCATTAACTTTAATGACACACACTAAAGATCTGCTCCAAGTACAGTAAAGTCAGTGTGAAAGTTTGGGGATCATGCCTTCAGGCAATGCTCTGCAATTTTTTCTACAGGATGAGAATCTCTGCTCAGGCAGCTTCCACATAACTAGTTTGGGACTCAAATACAGACACTGGTTGTAAAATACCATTTCCAAAGTAGTACATTTTCCTAAATGAAAAATTTAAAACATCTGTTATTCAATAGGAAACAGGATAATTTTGATGTATGATTTATAATGAACACAGTAGTACCCTCTTCATGATTTGTATTTGCATTTACATAATATTCTTTGAGATTCTTTTTCTTCTTGTTGACTTAACAAAATCATTCTTTTTAATTTAAGAGAAGCTGCCAACTAATCTCCAAACTGAGCTAACCCAGAGTGCTTTCATACTGACAAAGTCTCAGGTAAAGCAATGAATTAGTTTCTCTGTAATCATTTCTTTATCCTCTCCATTTCAGCCTCATAGTACTTCATTCCCAGCATTTTACATTCACAGGTGCTGAATCTGAGGATGTTGAGCCCCAAATGCAGACAGATTGAAGCCGGACAGCTGAAGAGATCACCACTCTGAGGCATCTGTCCAGTTCAGCCTTCACAGAGGTGGCAGCTACCGTGACAGGAAGCTGAGTCATGCATAAAGGCAATCCGCTTCACCGATCAAAACAGTAATACAGATCAGCACAGGTTCTGAACTGCATAGTGGGAGCCTGCAAGCTGCACGGACTACCTGCTTCACATGCAACGCAACTACGCCTGCCGCGAGAGCGGTAACCCCCAGGCAACAAACAGACAGGGTGAACAGTTGGAATTGATAGCCTGGGTCCCATTTCATTCAGCCTGGGTTCGTGAGACAATATATTCAGTTAAAAGCGGATGCTGTTGTCAACGTTGTCAAAGACAAAATTCCAAAAGAATTCAAATTGTGCAAACTCAAGTTTTCAACTTAGGTAAAGAGGGCTGCCAAAAAGAGTCTTAAAAAAACACTGCATTATGGCTGGCACGGTAAAGGGGTAGATCAATGAGCCTCATCTTCCAAAGAAGCTGTCTGAGAAATTTATTGATGATAACACTAAGGCAGAAGCAATATGAAGTGAGGGTCTCTGCATCCTTACCGGGAGCTGCTTCCACAAGCAAATTCATATTTAAGAACTGCCTAGTACTTTATGCTGGAGAAGCAAAGGAGACAGCCCAGCTGAGAGTTAGTCCCAGCAAAGTACATAAGACGTAATTCAGCCTACACTATAAATCATTTCCTCCGTGCATTCATTAACTGTCTGCAGCCTCAAGGAGCTGCTTTTCAGCTCTGTATTAGAGAAATTACCTGTTCATGACACAAGCCAGAAAAAGGCGCGTCTAAGCACATTGGCTATACAAAGGGTAAGTGAAGTGTAGATAAGACCAATACTTTTGTAAGCAGTGACATATATGAAGCCTCATTTCCTAGGGAATTGCACCTCATGACTGTCAAGAGTTTTTAACTGAATTATACCAAAGCTTCAGGCTTGTCTTAAACAGAGCATCAGAAAATCCACAGAGAAGAGAGATATGCATGTCTACCATGAAAGGCTTCAAGTGAGATTTGCTCCTTATTGGACACCACTGAATCCTACAGGAATATACATTTTGATTGAAAGAGGGATTTTCCAGTTCCTAGGCATTCAGTTCCCAACACGGTGCCACAACCTCTCTGTCCAATGTTGACATTTCAATATTAATGCTTGTATTTTTCCTCTTTCATCCCCTGCCCGGCTATCTTCACAGAACTTACAGGGAATGTTATCTCTTTGAGAATTAGTGTCTTAAAATTTGCCCCTTTGTTTCATTCGGTTGAAATCGGCCCCAAATTTATGGGGTGCAGTACTAATCAAGCAACAGCAAGCAAACAGCAACAAAATTACTCCCTTATACTCACATGCAAATGCACACGGGATACAATTTTGCACATGCCTTATTTCTTTAAGAAATCAGGATTTAAAAAAAAATTTGCTCAGCAATACTTAAGGAACCCATCTGGCTGTCACCTTCGCTTCTGAAAAAGAGCTGAGCAGTTTGCTTTTGCCTGCTTTAGCAGCATTACCTCCTTGAAAGCCAGCTCAGCCTCCCCTGTTGCTGACACCGCCTGCCACAGCGGGCAACTCGTCCGGCAGAGACGGCAGCAGGGCAGGGGGGAAAGCAAGCGAGTACCGAGAGGACGTGGGGGGAGAAAGACCTCAGCTCTTAAATACCGTGTGTAAATACACAATAAGGTTGGTTTAGATACATTAGGCATAGCGTATTAGACATTTTAATACGTGTGGATACACAAAGCAGCTTCGTGTCGGATATACCACATGAAATAGCCTGTATAGACACTACCCGCATTAAGGACTCTTATCTCCAGCCTTTGAAGCGTACAGAAACACCCGCAAACCCCTCTGTTGAAGTCTGCGTCTCCCTCCCAGGAAGGTATTCATTCCCACGGCCAACAGACCCATCAGGCTAATTGAGGCCCCG